GTTCCTCTTTTTTCTAGAATTCAGAAAAAAAAATTTAAATAAATTCACTTATTTTGAAACTTCCACAGCCCCATAATGCCCAAAAAAATCCACGAGTGCTTAAGAGCATGCTCATATGGAAAAGGTGAACGATTATAACAACAATGCATTGTTGAATACTGCTCAGTTATGCTACTGTAATGCAAGACATCATATTTTCATTTGAAAGTGATAGATAAATGTACAATCAAAAGGTAGAGCCTGCATCATATATATATATAATAATTTGCTAAAACATTTTAATGTCCGCGCAGAGTTCAGTGTAACAAGCAACAATATTCAAAGGACCAGCGAGGTTACACTTTTTTGCAGAACTGTTTCAACGTGGTCTGCCCGGATGCGGCAGAACGCGTTGAAACAATTCTTACAAGTCAATGTCAAATTACCTACTGGTAGTGTAAAAGTGATAAAATTTTCCATTAATAGTTTGCATCGCCCTAGCGCTGACAGCCAGGCTGCATTTTAATTAATGTCAAGAGGCAAGTAAAGCATTCCACATCACTTTAAGAGGGCAAATCGTTGAAAATACGCTAAGTTTGCGAGCAGTATGAATGAAGTTGGTCTGTAAATGCACTTAAAAGAAAGAACCGTGACTGCTTTCAAAAAAAAAAAGCGAGAAAATAAGTTTCACCAAAAAGAACAAACTATAATGCCATTTCTACAGCACATCCAAATAATTCGGCAAAACATCTCAGCTGCAATGAATTATCGAGCCTGTAGGGTTTTTAGTTTTGTCTAATTTTTTTTTTTTTGGTCGCTAGAGCTGAAAATAGGTAAAGTCGATAAACCAGAACAGAAATTTCATCTAATGCACTCAGAAATGAGAGCGACTTTTCATTTAATTAAAGAAAAAGTGGCGTAAGAAAAATTCTATTGCCTGGGATTTTTGTAGTGCCGCCTGTAGGCGGCATGGAACTAGCCTACTGGTTCAACCAATTCGTATAGTGTGCAGAACCTGCAG